CTCCCACCGGCGACCGCCCCATCTACTGCGGCCCCCCGACGTCCACCCTCGATTGGTGCGAGGAGAACTACGTCGTCTCCTCCTACGTCGCCGAGTTCTGTGAGTGAGGCGGGCGAGCCGGGGGGCGCCTTCCCTCGCGGACCCGCGCCCGAGGTTGTGGGGAGCGCCCTCCCCGTGGACGGGGCTGATGGAGGGTGGCCTCGTAAAGTTCCTGGGGGGTTCCCAGTCCCCCCACCGCACCCTTGAAGAATTGACTCTTTGCGAAGGGGAGACGAGAGGGCGGCTTTTGCAGAAGCCCCCCCTCTCCCCCTGGTTATTTCTAAGGGAGCAGGTTCCCGCTAGCCTCCGTTAGGAAATGCTATGGGGATCCTTTCCACCATTCCAGATCCATCCCTCCAGACCAGGGGAGTGCAACCTCTGCCCCATACTCCATTGTGGAAGACTAGATCCCGTGGGGATCTTTGGAAAAGGTTGGGGGAATATGGGCCGGGAGAGTCTTTGGAGTCGTCCCCCCAGATAGCGACAGAAGAGGTGGTGGGAAGGAAGAGTTTGTCTGCTTGGCCTTTTCCCTCATTTTGTGACATTGCACTGCATGTCGAGAGCCATCCTCTGGAAGGGGTGATCCTGGACCCATTTGGGGGAGCAGCTTGGGGTTGAAGGGGTGAAATGGGTGCCTAAAACTTCTGCAGGGCTCAAGGCATCCATTGCCCCATTAAAAAAGAGTGAGGAACTCCTCACATTGAATTGGGCTCTTGGCAGCTTCATATCTGCACCTGTGTCATTTTCTTGGTGTCAGTGCAGAAGTGGGTTGTCGCTGCCTTCTTTCCACATATCGTCTTACCACCTCATTTTACCCTTCTCTAGATTTCCTGGGGGTCTCCCGTCCTTAGCATTGTTTTGAGATCAGCCACATTCTGCTAGTGCTGCCCCTTAACCCCTTCCAGTGCTCCAAAAGACAAATAAAAAGGTTGAAAAGTTTGAACCCTCACACTCTAGGGGCTGGAGAGGGGATACTTGTGTTACGAATTTCTTACAGTATAGCTTTAAAACATTAAAACAATAATAACAACAATAATAGTTACAAACTTACTTATTACATGTCTTTAGTATAATTGGAGCATTATTTATTTATTTATTAAATTTTTCAACTGCCCATCTCCCCCCAGTGGGGGAACTCCGGGCGATTCACAACAAACATTAAAAACATAAAATATATAAATACATAAAACCTTAATTAAA